ACAAAATGTTGACCTCAAAGAGAGATGTTAGCAATCTTCAAAATAAAAGCATGAGAAAACAAAAACAAACATCCAACCGAAGAGTGTTCTTTATCTGTATATTTGATAGATATTGTATATTTACAGAAAGGCAACATTAACAGACTATTTATTTTGTATTATTGTTGTTTTCTGTCTGTGTCTCAAGAACAGTTTTATCCTGCTCAGATCGATCCATCATGTCATCTGATTTGTCAGACGTATAAAAAGATAACACCTCATAAAAACATCTTGAAAAGTTAGTTTTCCTGAAGTCATTTCTATTTGGAGTGTTTAAGATTACAGGGATCTTGTACCATACTGCAAGTCACGCGAATATTTGAGGTTGGTTGAATTTCTGAACATGACTTGAAAATTGATGTGGTTGCTTTTTTATTTGTTTCTACTCCACACTGTCGCATCTCTCTGTTTGCTCATGGATTCAAGGAAACATTATTGTCACAATCATAATGTGTCCTCATAATATTCTTCATGATTCACTTGTTTTAGTCAGAAGAAGCTGGCGAAGGTCCTGATTCGCCCAACCACAGAAACCCAAACACCTCCTGTTTTAATGTAGCTACACTGACCACCAATCAGATCTGGGTTTCATTTTAACATTTTTGTCAGACCTTTACAGGGTCCATTGTATATTTAAGATTTGATTCAAATATATACCTTTTCCTGTATTCTGAGCTTATAAACTCCGAAACTTTTAGTGGTCTCCCAACCCAGAACCAAGAGGAGAGCTATCTTTCCAAGATGTTGGACCCAGACTGTGGACAGTGTGGAAAGGTACCACGTAAATAAACTTTTAAGTACTTTACGTATAACATCGTACCAAATGTTGCATTCAAGGTCCAGGGTTTAGTTATAAACTATGACACACTAAAAAGACGTAAACATGATCTTAATAAACAAGATGGAGTAGCATAGACTACAAAAAGCCTCAGAATAGGTTACATGTTAGCTCGCCAAGAATTTAAGCTAGAGTTGATAATGCTTGCTACTTCAGTATTTGAAAAATGCAATAATGACAATATGAACATTTAGCTTAAAATGAACCAAACTAGATACTGACTCTGAATTCTTCCGCCTGTCACGCTGAAGTTTTTATTTTGCAGAGCTAAATGAGGCGTTGTGACAACAGAGCAAAGCCCACACCTAAAGAGTAATGTTTACTCATGGTGTTGTGTTCTGCATGCAGAGGAAAGCAGGAGACAGTCGCTCTATGCAGGCTGCAGGATAAACGTGTACAGGAATTATCTGTGGAGATAAGAGGCACATGAGCAGAATATCTGGACCGAACCGAGCTAAGCAACAAGAGGATCTTCTAGAGGCATGGCTACGGTCGGACAAATCATTTTTTTCACGTAAGCTTTGCAGAAATTTGGTTCTGATAATGAAGAGAACTTTTTGAACATTTTGAAATGAGTTGTCTCTACAGCTGTTTTTTGTTGAATATATACACCTTACCATAATACTGACAAAACAGTGTATCAAATAAGTGATAGTATGTACTAGTTTTGTGGATATGTTTTTTAACAAAAACTCAAAGTTTGAAAAATAAAGAAAATATTGACACATTTTTTTGTAAAACCTTTTTTGTACATCCTCATAAAGTGCATGTAATTTCCTCAAGGTTCTAAAATGAACCCACTGGGATACTGAGGGACATTTATCAGACTTCCAGTGTAACAATAAATAACATCAAGCAATAAAAGATGTAAAAGCAATAATATTCTGAAACAAGGAACTTTGCATCTCTCATATGTAAATGTATGAATAAACCTGTTTCATTCCAGTTTCCTGATTGTTTCTCTCCACATGTAGCTTGGTGACCCTCAATGTCCTGTTAGCAGCCTTCATCGTCCTCATCTTGACCCTGGCCTTCTCAAGTAAGACCCTAATATTATTATTAGTAGTAGTGATGACTCAGTCAGGCTTAGCAATGGCAGACATGTAATGGGTGTGTTCAGTATGTTCTGTTTGTTTATACTGAAGAGCAGTTGATCCTTGTGGCTGCTGGAATGACACAAGGCGTTCCAAGCATGAAACCATATGTTTCCTTATGCACAGAGCCGTACTAATATGCAAACCTCTGTTTGACTGCTTGTTCTAGTTGAAGTTACACTATTAACAGTAACTGTGTTTCCATAGAATTGCATAAATTGGAATTTTTAAAATAAATTTGCTGAATGGAAACGTGGAAGTTTTGATTAAAACAAACTCACGTTTTTCAATAAAAGCGTTTTGTGAAGGATGAGGTAGTTTTTCAGATGTACAGAAATTAATGTATTTCACAAAACTGTAATGGAAACATGTTTTACGCATCACATGAGTCCTGGGATCAACAACTGGATTTTATTTACTTGCAGAAAAGACGAAGAAGACAATAGGAAGTGGGAAGGCCCGTCAAAATCTTTGACTTATCGGGTGAACAAACTTATTCACGTATTTAGTTGCGGCTCTTATTTAATGGAAATGGAAACACCGCAATTACAAAATTAAGTTTTTTCAATGTTAGTGGACTATCTTCAAAGTTTTGCGCATATTCGTAATGGAAAGACAGCTAGTGTTGAGTTGTACTTCTAAAATGTTTTTCCTCCTTAAAAACATTCAAGTATTGGGCTAGAAGACATCATATGTATTTTGAGACCAAATTGTCGTCTGCAGAATCCACGTCCAAGGTGGTGAGCAGCAACACCAAACCGGTCGCCAACCTCGGCGAGGACCAGATTCTCAGCTGCTATGTTTCTGCAGAAAGTCAACCAAACAGGCTGGGTGAGGTGTCGGTCAGCTGGGAGAAAACGGATCTGGGAACGGTTTATCGTTACGAGAACAGAGCTCCGGCTCTTGATGGGCAAGCGTCAGCGTTTAAAGGCAGAGCTCAGGTCTTCCCTGACGCTGTAGCCATAGGTAACGCCTCTCTGCTGCTGCGGAGCGTGAGAAGCAGTGACGAGGGAGAGTACACCTGCACCATTCGGTCCTCTGTCGCCCATGGGACAGTCAGCATTCAGCTCCGGACAGCAGGTAAACCCTCAGTTTCCCTAAATTACATTTTCTGATAAAATTGTCTTGTGCTTAATAAATACGTTCCTTTGCTGTCGCAGTCTTTTCAGTGCCGACACTAAAGTTCTCTAACAGCATCCTGACCTCTGAGGCGAGCAGCTGGTTTCCTAAACCAGACGTCACGTGGCTGAACCAAACCGGGAATGAACTGAACGCAAACACAAGTTTCACTGAACGCTCACCGGGGATTTACAGTCTCTTGAGCTCTCTACAGTCTGCGAAGGTCAGCGAGACCTACAGCTGCAGGATCGAAAACAGCTTAGTGGTGGCAGTCACCGAAGCAACTATATCAGGTACAGTCTTGGTTGAGCCTTTATGATGCCTTTCTACTGACATAACAAGAACTCTTGACTACTGAACAAAGGGAAAATTTACATCATATTTACCATTAACAAAACTCATGTAATACAGCATACTGTTAACCCCAACATATATGGTAAATGTCCTGGATTTCCATTGTGCCAAGCAAACCAAAGTGTTTTACGCTACATTCAGTCATTCATACATTGATGATGCTAAGCTACATTGTTGCCCTGAGGCAGACTGACAGAAGAGAGATTCTCGTTTTATTTGCACCACCACGACCTTTGACCGTGAAGATACAAACACGACGGCTGAGATGGAGGGAACAAGATTTGAACCAGCAACCCAGTGGTTGTAGGACAAACATGTACCTCCTGATCCACCGTCACGCCAAAAAAGCAATACTTCGACACATATTTTGTTGTTTCGCTTCACATTTTGGACGGTGAAAAACTCTTACCTTCACCAAACTGTGTGATTTATACAGTATATAATGTTATTGACTTATCACCTGAACACCTGTCTTTATAAGACATGTGCTCCATTAGTGGCACATGTCTTATAAAGTTTTTTAACATCTTCTCTTTATTGTAAGAATCTTGATCTTCAACATAAGGATTGTGCAACACTTGGACCGCTGAATAACTGTAATAGATAAATTCAGGTGAAAAGTAGCAGAAATATTTAATATAAAACCTGGAAATTGCTCTCAACTTGACCAAAATATACAATTTTACATTCAGTATCTAATCTTGTGTGTCTTCCAGGCAGTGGTGTTTTGGGAAGGACCTTCTTCACCTTCAGTGTCGCTTCAACCCAGCTTGTTTCGTTTTATCTAAATATTATTACATCTGTCCTGTGCATGTTTTATGTGGTGTAGGTAAATACAGCCTTATTATCTTTGCTTTAAAAACATTGTCAAATATTGTCTATATTCTGGGTACATTCAAGAACAGATGCAGTTTATTTAAGTAGTGATAACTAAAGTTTAACTCTCCATTTTTATTGTAATATATGTCATGGAATATTGTGCTGGTTAATTAATTCCTGTGTATGTTTCAATTACATGTATGTAAATAATTTTTAACCTGTATTGTAACTGATGACAAGAAAAATGATTTAGAAGTCTGTTTTTCTTGCCGTAGTGTATTTATTTTTTTAGCTTTTCTCCTATTAAACTATGTAAATCCTTGTGTATTCTTGAATAAAGTAAATGCAACAAAACTGGAAATTACATCACAAAAAGTTGGATTAAACTGTTTGTGATGTAATTTTATGTGCAACATATAAAATTATTTTAAAAACTTAGCCAGATAGAGACTTCAGAGCAAAAATTTCCACAAATTAAAATCTTCTTCCAGTATTAAATGTTAAGTTGAACACAAAGTATTATTTTATTTTTTTTAATAATCTCATTTTTACATTCTCTTTAATTTCACAATAAACAGGATCAGGTTGTGCTTGTACTTTGTTAAACTTGATATAATATCACAAATGTTTTCAAAGAAAGACTGACCTAAATGATATTCCTGTTGCTGAGAATAATATCTTTATTTCCATTTTTTTTTTTCAATCAAGCCCAAAAGAAGTTGCGAAACAAAATCCTTTCTATAAATAAGCAAATGTGAAAAGTCCTTTTTAAGTTTAAGGTACTATGATTTACACGTCCCTTTTCCAAATATAAAAAAATTGTTCTTTAATTAATATATTGCATTCTCTTATTACTGTTGGAAATATTTTATGACTTTTTATAAAATATTTTGATAGTATAATCTGTCTGAGTCCCAGTTTGGCAGTAAAGACTACAGGAATGTTTATGGACCTCCCCGAATAGCGGAGAGGAGCTTCCCATTGGTCCGTTAGTTCGTGAGGTGTCAAATGTCCCATGCGGCTTTGAACGCAGCTTACTTTACCGAGGAAAAGTGGATTTTAATTAGGCAGAAAAGTTTGTAAAAGTAGTTTTATGACTCGTGTGAGAAAAACAGTTATTCGGTGCGACTTGCAGAGAACAACAGTGATATCGGGGTGAGTTTTTTCTAAACTCTGACAACTCGCTTGAACTCGGTGGGTTTTGCTCTGATTTTGGCGCAGGAAGTCCCCCAAAACCAACCATGTCCCAGTCAGAGCAGAAAGAAACCGCAGACAAGCAGACAGTGAGCTCGGAACCGGAACCTCAAAGTGCTTCTGTAAACCCGAGAGCAGTCTGCAGGGTGTGCAAACACTTGTACCGGGAGCCCAAAATCCTGCCCTGCCTGCACACCTTCTGCTCCGACTGCATCGGGCAGCTGGAGCCGTTTTCGACGTCTCCGCGGGGCCACTTCACCGCACCGGAGGGCGGAGGTAGGAGCGGGGAGGCGGCGGAACAGGACCGAGACTCCCTCTCGTTCACCGTGCTCTGCCCAGAGTGTGACACCGAGGTGGATATCCCTCGGTCCGGACCGGCCGGACTCAGCACAGACCACCTGGCGCTGGACGAGGTATTCCTGGAGACCCTGGTGAGCGACGGCCCGCTGGGCTGCGACCTGTGCGGCGAAGGAAGCGCCGAGAGCCGCTGCGAGGTGTGCAGCCTGAACCTGTGCGAGTTCTGCCGCCAGGCGCACAGGTGGGAGTAGGCCCTACTTTCTGGACTGTTCTCAAGGAGTCTGACAGAGTTACTAAATCTGTTTTATTCTCTCGGTTTTAGCTCAAAACTCCACCAGTTATTGTTAAACACACTTGAGAACACAATGTGTTGCTTTGCTATAAAAAAGGACTAAATTTAAAAACTTTATTCTGAAAAATAAATCAAATTTGAATTCTTATAATTCTAAATCCTTTCAAAAAATATCCATGCCTCTTTCTTTATTTTATTTTTTGAGGTTACCTGAAACCATAATGTTTTAGTGGGATGAATAGACCAACACAAGTAATATTGTAAACTTTAAAGCTTATATATTTTGAAAACTAAAACTGTAAAATGTTAGGCCTGTAAAACTTTATATTTGCAGCATCTGCACCAGTTACAGATGTGAGTATTTTGGGGCTCATCTCTATTGACTTCAAAGATGTAAATTTTTGCCTCTTGTTTTTTGCAAAGAAAGAAAGAAAACAGCAGTCAGATTGAGTAGAAAACATCTGTAGACATTTTTTTCTTTTCAAATTTGTCCCCCATACTCAATTTCACATGATCTCTTTTTTCCCCTTTTATCTCTAATGGTCCTAATACTTTGTTGGACAGTCTGAATGTCCTGTTCTTTGTGACTACACTGACATATTTGACCTCTGCTGTTTAGCAGAACCTTTTTCTTTTATCTTGCCATACATTTTGAAGAACCAAAAGGAACGAGTATGACAAGGTTACGTCTCAGAGATACAGGATTAAATAAAACTTTACATTTGGTGGGTAAACATCCAACAGGTAGATGTGGTCGTGGTATGGACATGGAAACAGTACAGCATATAATAATTTGCTGTGTAAAATGTAGGACGAGTAGAGAAAAAAATAAACAAGAATTAAGAAAATATAGTTCAGAGACATTAAAATTGAGCAAGGTGTTTAAACATTTGATAAATTAAATTTCCAAAGGAAACGGTATTATAAAAATTTAGTTTAAATGGATAAGAAAAATACTCAAGCCCACACTCCAGCACACTAGATGGCGATAATACATCTAAGCCCGCCATAAAACCCACAAAGAAGAAGAAGACTCATGAAGGATGTGTTCTCCCTCCTACCTGCAGGCGGCAGAAGCGAACCGCGTCTCATTCTATTCAGGCCGTGACGGAGCTGAAAGCCCGCGGTCGTCTGTGCCGCCCCGTCCTCTGCTCCCTTCACCCCGGGCAGGAGCTGAGGCTCTTCTGTCAGCCCTGCGACCTGCCGGTCTGTCTGGAGTGCGCGGCCACGCTGCACCGGGACCACCGCTGCTGTCCGACACACGACGTTATCGACCGTCATGGCGACCGGATACGAGAGCTGGTCAGCGCGCGCCTTCGGCCTCGTCTGGAGCGACTGGAGGACTCGCTGCAAAAGGTCCCCAAAAAGACCCATTTATATATTGTTATCCAATATAAGCTACCGATTTAGATTTTCATGTTCGAATGTAAAACATAACTCTTTATTTTTCGCATTCTGGTTCTCCTTTAGGTGGAAATTTCTCAAGAAAATTTGCAGGTTCGAGCAGATGAAACCGCCAATCAGATTAGAGTTTTCGCACGAGAGTACACCAGTGCGGTGGAGGCTCACTGCTTGTCTCTGCTGCGCCGCCTGGAGGAGATCAGGGTGCAACGCAGGTAGGACATTACTGCAACTGTAATGAGTTTTTAGACAGGGAAATAAAAACAATTCCGATATGCTCCTAGGGTCAGGGGTCAGCAACCATCTCCATTCAAAGAGCTACTCATACTTATTTTTATTTTCCAATGTTAGAACAAATTACAAAAAGAGAAAAACAGCTATTTTGTAGAAGGAGATGAGAATCTTTTTTTTTTAAATATGGAAAATAAATAAAGATAGGTATCATAATGTAGTCACTGTTGTAGATAATAAAAGCAGATTCTGTAATGAAAATGCCTCTATAGTTCCCTGCTATTTGGTTTACCACAAACACTTCCTTCCTCCAGAAACCACCTCCACCTGCAGAGGGCGCAGCTGCAGCAGGCCCTGCTGGACGTCAGAGGGAGCGTGGAGTTTGCGGAGCGGCTGCTGAGCTGTGGCTCCGACGCTGAGATCCTCAGTGCTAAAGGAGTGACCCTGAGGAGACTGACCAGCCTGGCGGAGAGCGGGTACGACCCCCACCCAGCGACGGTCGCCCCTGACGACGGCGGCAGTGTCTGCTTCCTGCCCAGGGAGCCGGCAGGAGAGGTGGAGGGCTACCCGTTGGTGGGCGTGATCCACTCCAGGACGGTGGACGTCAGCAGGTGCACCGTTGAAGGAGAAGGTGAGCAGCTAACTTTTTATCTTGTCTTTGTTGTGTCGGTTGGTTGCTATGTTTTGTTTGAGACGAAATTGTTTAAATCTGTGTAAGAATACGTTAAATTTTACATCTCTTGTGCATTTTCTGATGCCATGCAGCTACGATTCAGTAATGCCATTTTTCTAACCTTCCACTCCGTCATGGTCACAGGTCTGCAGCAGGGAACGGTAGCCCAGCGGGGACATTTTACTCTGGTGTGTCGGGACTCCGGTGGGGAGCGGCTGGCTCGAGGAGGAGAACACGTCCTGGTCAGCATCGTCCACAAAGAGAAGAAGAACTGGTGAGTAAACATGTCTGCTCCGCCAACCATTGTTGATTCAGAAAGGGTAAGAAAATGAGACATCCAGCAACTTCCAGTTNTCGCCACATCCGTCCTGAAAGGTTTTGAAGGCAGGCAATACAAGGCGTCTTCAAAACCTTTCAGGACGGATGTGGTGAAATGTGTATCAATAGTGGGGCCGATTTCAACATTAACCAAATTTATTAATTAAACAAAACTATCAGAAAAAAATATCTTACCATGTGTACTGATAATGTATTTAAAGCTTTAGCAATATTTCAAATCCTGTAAAGTTAATTCAGTGCTAGAAGCAACGAGGACAGGGAATTAAACAAGCCTCGATAATTTGAGCAATACCCTTATGAATTCAACTTGAATGTGTGGGAGTCACTCAGTAAAGAGATGATTGATCTGCATTGATCAGCGAAAATATCAATGGTTCCACTCTTATTTAAGCATGAAATATTGCGCATCAGCAGCTGTTAGACTTACTCTTTACTGTGTGACTCACAGGCATTCAAGTGGGGCAGCAGCAGCTCAGGAAGTAAGTATTTGTCCTGTAACCAGTGAATTGCCGGTTCGAACTCCTGCTCTCTGTGTTCAAGTCACTTTGCCATTGTGCCCTTGGGCTTGACACTTCACCCATTTTGGTTGCTGGTGGTCAGTGGGCCTCGTGGTGCCGATTGAATGGCATCCTTACTTCTGTCAGTCTATCCCGGGGTAGTTCTGGCTACAGCGTAGCTTACCACCATGACCGATTGTAGTGTAAAGCATTTTGGAGTCCACAGACTTGATAAAGCGCTATACAAGTGTAGGCCATTCACCATTTCACTCTTTCTCTCTTCCTACGCAAGCCATCACACACCTACACACAGCAGAAGAATCTTGTTGAAAATCTTATCTCATGATCTTTCATGCCAAATAACAGCTCATTGACGATCTGATTAAATGGAAATGCACTTTAAAACTGTGAAATGTGTAACATTTGACAAGATACATGGTGTGAAAGTGACTTTGACTGTACAAATCAATGTATGACCAAAGTTGGAAATCTGTACACTATTGTAGGCCATATAATAGTATACTGTATACTGCATATTCCTTCAAATCTTCATGTTTCTATTATTGCTATGTGCTGCTGCAGTCTGCTACTGAGTTGCTGAAGTTCTGCACAGTTAAATAGCCTTTTTGTGGAAGACATTTCATGGACCACTAGTGCCCTCTGTCAGCGTTGGCCAGGATATTGCACATTTTAACTGATACTGTTAAAAAAGTGGCACTTTTTAAAATATCAATGCATTATTACTGCTTGGAAACTTTATAGTAAAAGTGCTTTTTGTGAGTACATTTGAAAGACTACTAGCTAACCCTCCTCAACTCTTGCACATGTTTATAGTAGGGGATTTTGAAGTTTCAGATGTGAGGATGTGACAATTTACCACAGAGTCATGCAATAGCCAAACCTTGTGGGTGTTTGTGCAGTGGGCTCATTTTGAGGTAAAAGGGTCTTGGGGAAAGTTATTAGCAATTGCTCATGTGTGTGAAACTGAAAACTCGTTGTGGGAAAAAGAAGCAAGCACCTTTTAGATTTGATGATATCTTTCTCTGCTCTGTGCGAGACATTTTCCAGTCTGGGTTTGCTTTGTTTTCTGTCATGCACTGCCTTTTGTCTCATGTTAGATTACATCGCCGTATATAACATCGTCTTATCTCCAACTTCGAGGAAGTACATCTGGAAAATATAGTGAATATGAAAAAAAAAAAAAAAAGGAAATCTATGTTCTTAACTTGAAAAGTGTGAGATAACCTTTTATTTCTCAAAAATACAAATGATTCTTTGGGATAACACTTGAGTAATTCCTTAGTAGGATGTTTTCTGCATTTATGGTGCAATATATGTCACGAGTGGGTGACAAAAACAAAACCTAATGTCAATACAAATTCTTTACATGGTCAGATATGTAATTAAAGCATGAAATAGTGTATAACATGCAGGAGGTAAAGCATAGTTACACAGACAGTTCCTGTTGGCGTTTTACAGTGTTGACATGTTGAGAGGTGACATTTTTAGGTTATTTATTTATAAACAAAAAACCCTAAATATGCTTCTAAAAAATGTTACTCTCAGGAACAGCGATCAGAAAACTTCTAGGCAAACACCATGAGAGGAGAGTTGTAGCCAGAAAACCACATATGTAAGTAATTACAATAAATAGGGGCCATATTCCAGCACCGGTTACAATTTGTGTACATTGCATGCTCACTGAAATGACTAAGACCAGATTTGTTCACTTTGAACTCATGCAATACTTTGAGAAAATGTGTAAAATGTAAAGGGCTCTTTCAATATTACTGTTGGTGGTGTGTGTGGGTGGGTATGAGCAATAGAGGCGATGATGTCTTTGGGAAATTAAAGCTCCTGCTTTTAGTGACGTGAAAAAAACTCAAAACACTGCTCTAGATGACATAAGATTCCTTGTTAGTATCTAAAGTTTCATGTTTATGACGACCCGTCTCCATTACTACGGACTGTTTCATTATGACCACTCAATGCTCGATCATTTCACCAACACCAGGGGGAAGCATTCAGCCACTTTTATGGTAATATGATTTAGGAAATTCAAGCAACTGACTGAACCAAAGCTACTCTTCATATGAGCTGATAGTTAGGCATTTATGTTACATCAGTTTATATATATATATATCAATTCATTTTGAAGTGTTTCAAAAATAATTCTTCTTTGCTAAGTTTGCTTGTGTTGAATAAACACTGCAGACTTGGCTCTATATAAAGATTTCATTTACCACAGGAGGGAGCTACAGCAAAGGGAAGGTACTGTAGTGTGAAGTATTATAGCACTACACTGGAAAATTACAAATGGTTTTAAAACAAAAGTTGAATGATTTTGTTCCAAATAATTAAAACACTGCAAGATCTAACTCTATTGATAAAATTACAATTTTAAAAATCATATTTTACAAGAACATATAAAAAGGTACAGTTCTGGCATTTATTGATTGATTGAGTTTTGGCACAAGCTTAAAGCGAACAAAGTAAACAAGTGGAATATGTTCTAGTGAGATGAGACATAAAGTTAACATACATGCAAAATGTTGTGTGGCAAAAAAACAAACAAAAACTAACACTTCACATTACCCTAAACACACCATTGTGAAGGATGGAGATGGTGTGTTCAACGTGATGTGCTGTGTCAATTTTCAGTGGTTAAATGTTTTAGATCAATGTACATTATTGAGTTGGAATGTCCACATCAAAGTCCAGACCTAAGTCCAACACAGAATATGTGGTAGGATTTGAACATTACTGTTCAGAGATCTTCTCTATTCAGGCTGACTGAGTTGGAATTGGAAAGACATATGGGCAAATGTCCACTATCTAGAATCTTGGTGTACCCTTAAGGGCATCCATTTGTGATTGCTATATAAAGGTGGATCTATAAACCAAGTCACCGGAGCAGGATACATTATTCAAAACAATTTTCTAATAGTTATTTGTATAAGAAATTGAAAGTTATGTATCCTTGTTCTTGGTCTTCACAGTTATGCTCTACTTTGAGTTAGTCTATCACATAAAATCCCCAGGAAATACACAGTGCAAGACACTGTGTGCTGTGGGGGTTTATCTTGCTATTATTACATATCTATATAATAAAATACTAGAACTTCTTAATGAAGACCTAACGTTTTGCTTCACAAAGTGATTTGGGTCATAGCATCCATAAAGTCCAACAGGTGCTTGTTCTTATGCCAAGACTGTTCAGGCTTTATGGATGAGATAGCTTTCTGAAATACATTTTTAAAGATATTTACAGTATATGATATTCCTTTCATGCAAAGTGTTGTAGTAATAAACTGCAACTGAAAAAGTTAGAGTGAGAGACAGGTCTTGTGGTCTCTAGCCTACTGTGTAAACACCAATGGCTGTATAAATGTAAATTCAGGTATGTTAATGTCACGGAGAGGAACAAATAGAATATGCTAGAATAGAAATTTCTTAACTGCTGTATAATGGGGGAGTTTCTATGTAGCAGTAGCAAAGTGACAGGCAATCAAAGCAAGTAGGTTCACACAAAGATGGAATATAAGAACAGAATAAGAATAAGAAAACATTTCAACATAAATATATATGTGAACACTTATTGAGTTTGCTGGGAGCAGTAATGTTTATGAAGTCTCACAGCTTCTGGGAGGAAGGATCTATGACACCGCTCCTTTGCGCACCTAGGATGCAACAGTCTGTCACTGAAGGAGCTCTCCAGATCAGCAACAGCAACGTGCATGAGGTAAAGTTAAATAGTTAAATATTTCTATTTAATGGGAATCTTTACTAATAGATAAATAAATGCAAACAATACAGTCAATACTTTGAGGTCTTGGTGGCTTCACTGTCAAAAATTCTCAAAACCCTTTTTTTTTTTACCTTAAAGCTAATTTACCTATCATGTCATAGAATATATCAACTATGTGGACCTCCGTGCCCTGTGATGGACTGTTGACCTGTCTCCCACCCAATGACTGCTGGAGGTATTCACCATATAATACAAGGACAGACAATAGGGTGGATGGACCCACATGGCTGTATTTATTATTATCCACTTCTTCAGTTTACTCAGCACTATATAAATCTATGTTTAGATTTATGTAATCCACGGGGTGGGTGTAAAAATAAGTTAATAGTTCTACCCATTCGTTTGAATGTGTAAATATACTTTACTGCTATTCTTTTTTGATTTGCTTGTGTTTTGTTTCCTTTTGTTTTAAATGTATTTTATAACATTGTTTATTATTTTATTACACTATGTTCAATAAGGTCAAACTCATTCAGCTCAAAGTCTAAAGAGTTATCATGTTTTGATGTATGATACAAATGATAAAAATAATGAGTGAGACAGGATGGGAGCTACTTTTATTTTAATACACAGGATGTTGTTTTTGTAGTGATGTCATTAGATTAACGACACAATAAGATATCAGAGGTGAATTGAGTTTTTTTTTGTTTTTTTTTTCTGAATAGGTTATTCAGAATTGTTTTGTTTTGAACAGGATTTCAACAACAATTGCGTTCAATTATACTTTCAAATAGCAAAGGTAATAGACTTTTTGCACCATTCTTTTTTTTTTGCAATTTTTTAAACATTATTAATTTTAAATTGGCGACAATAGACCGTTTTTCAACATTGATGGCATGTTTAAGTTAACCCCAGAGCATTACAATTAAATCTAAGTTCAGACTTTGACTGGCTACTCTAAAAGCATCCCTTTTTGAGTCATTTCGAGATAGACTAGCTGGACCCCTCAGAAAATCGACCTGCACAACCCAAGTGTGCTTGAGTTTAGTTGTTTTTTTTTTTGTTTTGTTTTTTTTCCTGAAGCAGCAAAACAGCCTCAGACCA